TACTAATAATATTAATAATAAGTGTATATTTCACGGAGACCCGTGAAGCATGCATAGGCATGATCAAGTATAGAACATAATCATCCATATATGAGAAGCCGAAAAAGAAACCTTTGAAGGTCGCACTGAGCATAATTACAAATGGAACACAAAGTGGACAAAGTGTCAGAGAAAATGGTTTGAGATGGCGGAATGCTGCAAAAGAGCAAGTCGGTGGAGGTAGGACGAAAAACGAAAATCGATATACCGGATAAATGATGAGATAATTGGAAATACGACAAGAGGCAGCCTGCAGATCGTTTGAAGGGAATGGACAGAAGTGGGGGTCACTCAGAGTGTGCATAAAAGGAAAGCAGCACCACATTGGAAGATTGATTGTATTTTGCTGGGTTTTTCAGTTATACTCCGAATAAATTCACCACTGGATATCGTGCCAATCTAACGGAAGACACCGTTTTTCTTACAGTAGCAGATCTCTGGAAAAGAAGACAGAAACGAAAAACAGTTTAGGTTTTAACCTAGCTGATAAGGGATTGAGAGAGAAGGAAGCATGCAAGTTATCGTGCAATTTTATCTTAGAAGTTCCGGACAGTCACGCAGACGACTATAAGCTGGTATCTATAAAAGAGTCACCAAATATTGCCACTAGACACAGTATGCAATGGCAACAAAGTTGAACAAAATAAATCTGATTTCTCACTACGGCATAAAAACAGATTGGGAATGTAAAAAGATGTATTCACCAGAAGAATGTTCATTCCACTGATCAGCCGTGTAGGTTGACGAGTGTACAAGATCTAGAATATGTACTGATAAGAATTTTGTTAGAAAGTGAACACAGCTGCCTGGTTAGCATATGCACTGAGTTGAGTCAAATGATACAGGTGAAGACCATATTAAGAATAGTTGGAATATGGAAGAAGGGGTCACAATAAGTCTAGCTATTTGCTAGCCCCAAATGAGACGGTAATTCCAGAGATACTTTATGGTGAAATAATGATAAATGGTTTCATCTTGTTCAGACAAGACTCAAACCGTGGTCATGCGGGCGGAGTGGCTCTCTTCCTCATTGATTCCCTCCATCCTGCTTTGCGTTTTTCCCTTCCTATAATTAATTCGATCAAGACCCTTTGGGTCAATATCGTTATCCCGAGCAAGGATTCACTCTTCCTTCGTTGTTGTTTGTTTATCGCTCTCATCAAGCACACAAGAGGAATGTCAATCACTTCTAACTCAGCTTCGTGACCTCCGTCCCACATGCACTATCTCACACCTTCTTATCCTGGGCGATTTCAACGCCTCGAATATCGACTGGCCCAGATCCCACTCCAGAGATAGAATTTTTGGTGCATCCCTTATAAACCTCCTCAACGAACACTCGTGGTTCCAACACGTAGTATCTCCCACTAGGTACCGTGTCAGCCAACGTCCCTCTTTGCTTGATCTTACGATTACCAACGAACGACACGAGATCGACATGATCTCGTACCTAAGTCCTGTTGGTATAAGCGATCACCTCCTGCTTTCCTTTGACCATAATATCCGCTGGCCAACTTGCAGGCCCTCTTCCAGAATGTTACGTTCTTTCAAAAGGGCCGATTTTGTTCTCTTTCGAGAATTCGTGGCCAACAGGCTGGGCTCCTACAATATTGATACTGACTCAAACAATCTAAATGAGTTGCTAGAGAGTCTAATTGACGAGGCGGACAACCTGTTTATTCCTAGAGTTCAATTTGTACCTGATCATAGGCCTCCCCTACCCCGCACAATTCGGCACTTAATGGACGAGCGGGCCCGCTCATTTGCTAGAATGAAATGTACTGGGCTCGATGCCGGTGCTATCGAGTTCAAGCGAATCCGCAACTTAAGTAAGCAGCCAGTTAGGGAATTTCACAATGGACAACAGAAAGTAATTCTTCTTCGTGCTAGAAGTAACCCTAATTCCTTAGTTAAGTCACTCCGCCGTAAAAGGCAACCAACCTCCTCGACGCAGTCCTCAAGCTACCTGATGGCACTCCTGTAACATCTTCTGCTCAGGTTGCACAGATCTTCCGGTCTCATTATGAATCCGCCTTCAATTTCCCTCCTGTCTCTTCCCACCTCAATCTTCCCTCCCTTAATGCACTGCCTCCAGTAGAACATTTACTCATTCTTCCAGGGGACACCGAATCACTCCTCGAATCCGTGAATCCCTTTAGTTCGATGGAACCAGACGGCATACACCCTCGATTGTTGAAAGAAGCCACCTCGATTCTTGCCCCGTACTATTCCACTCTTTTCCAGAAGTGTCTAGATGTTGGAATATTCCCTCCATCTTGGAAAAGAGGCATCATGTCCCCCCAATTTGAGAAAGGGGATCGACACGCTCCAAGTAGTTATAGATCCATCAGCCTGACTAGTATACCCAGCAAGGTCTTTGAACGGGTCTTAAAAAGGGCAATTCAAAAACACTTAACAGACAATCTGCTTCTTTCTCAATCCCAACACGGCTTTCTCCCTGGCATCTCCAATATGCTATATGTCATGGACAGTCTAACACAAGCCCATGGTGACGGCTTGATTCCTCACGCAATAATAATAATAATGGTATATTTCACGAAGCCCTTGAAGCATGCTAGTGTGCATGATCAAATGTACAACGATTTAAAAATGACAGTGGAAACAAAAAGTAGTAGTACAGAGTGTAAGAACGTAATTTCCAAACGGATACAAAAGATATCATAAATGTGCAATACGGTGAAGAACAAAACACAAACCGGACAAGATCATATTACGGAGCCTTGGGGGAGGTGTTATGCAGAGCAAATTAGTGTAACGGTTGTCTTATGAAAAACATTTGGCAAGACACTGCTGGAAGTTAGAATATCCGTTTAAGAGAAAATGAGCAGAAACGAGTTAGAAGAGCAGGTGTATAGTTAAGAGAAAACATTATTAATTTCGGAAGAAGCGCTGCAAGCGGGCTGGAGAAGAGCGGAGTGATTCAGTAAGGGATGCCGAATGGCTTATATATAAACTGTTTCAAATATCGATAGAGTTGGAAGGACTTCTGTGATCACGGAACAATGGGCTTCGGGCTTCATCGTTAACGGACAAATTGGTTTTTATGTATATTATTGAGGCGTTGGTCGCTTTGATGTGGGACTGACTACACGCTAGACACCCAAGCTTAAAACACCTTGTAGGTGAGGCAGGGGGTGTGATCCTCAACCTGGCCCATAATGCGGACGCAGGTAGTCAAAAACGGTGGATACAACCGCGCCCAACAACCAGTACCGGATCCAAATTGTCCATTGTGGGTGCAGACCCCAAGCCTTCAGCAGGCCCAAGCCAACCGAATCTGAAAGAAAAAGGCCTAAACTCGGTAGTCTGGGTTAATATCCGGCTGAGAAGGGAAGAGGGGAAGAGCATGTTGCGAGAAAATATGCGGATTGCATAAGTGCCCGAAATTATATATAAGATGGAGGTGAGCTGGAGTAGAACCCAGCAGAGAAGAAATGTGGGGGGACCAAAGCGTCATGAAATAATATACGGAATGCACAACGGTTGGAAAATATATAAATATATGTTACACATAAAGACGCACCGAAGACAGATCGCAACGATCGAAGTTGAAGAGTAAAGACTACCAAACTGTCAGCATGTCCCGAAGATAAGGATCGATCAGATGGTTGACATGGAGGGACGAACCTAGATCTTCAACGATTATGGGTGATAAACCTAGTGTAGGTTTTCACGTGGCAATTTTTTTTCCACTGATCCAGCTTCAAAGCTCGACCAGTGTACTAATTGGAAACAAGTTGGAATTCGCAAAAGCTTTCGATCATGTCCCTCAAGCTCTCTTCCTCTACAAGCTCCAGTTATATGGCCTCAGTGGCATACTCCTTGCTATTCTTCGGGATTTCCTCACGAAACGCACCTTCTCGGTTCGCGTAAGTTCATCGTTCTCTTCTGACTCCCCCATTTCTACCGGGGTCCCGCAAGGTTCCGTCCTTGGCCCTCTCCTCTTCCTTTTATATGTTAATGACCTGCCACACAGGATCGGAGTCAACGTAGCAATGTATGCTGATGATGTGACAATTTGGGGCACCGACCCGGTGACTGTTTAGTCAGCAATGAATGCAGTCAAAAACTGGTCTTCTGCCTGGAACCTACCAATAAACGACGAAAAATGTGTTAGTATGTCGTTTAGAAGGATCCCCGTACATAGCTTTAGGGCTAACGATTCCATGACTATGGAGAGTGTAGAACACCACAATGTCCTTGGTTTCTGGCTTACCAGATCACTCTCGTTCTCTTACCAACAACAAACAGCCAATAGATCCGCTTTCCTTGGTCTTAACATCCTAAGACGTTCTTTTCCCAGAATTGATAGAGACGAATTTCAGATTCTATACAGCTCATAGGTTCCACCCTTATTGGAATACGGTAGTCAAATTGCTCACTCCTGCCTGGTATGCGATTGTACGGCCTTGGAGCGTGTTCAACGGAGGGTGATAAAACTTGTGCATGGCTTGTCCTCCATCTCTTACCCTACTCGTCTTTCCATCTTGAACCTGTACACCTTCGAAACCCACCGAGCAAGAGGTGACATCTTCCTATTGTACAATCTCTTCAATTCCGGCAGGGTTGATGACTTCTTTGTGCGCACTAGTACGGACAATCTTCGTGGGCAAAGCATGAAACGCTTCAAACCGCGTGTCCGTACACTAGTCCGTCAGTGCTCATTCACCCACAGGGTCATTCCTCTTTGGAATAGCTCCCCGAAGCAGTATTTAATGCCCCCACAAAATCTGCTTTCAAAAGTAATCTAGACCTGCATCTTGATCTAATCCCTGAACGGTAAACACCTCCCTGCCTGAAAGCGGTATTCCAGAGAAAGAGAAGTCAAAGACCTGGGAGTAATTATACCCTACGACTTCAAACCCTCACAACAATGTCTGAGGGCAGCCAGCATAGCTCGAAGGGAACTCTTTCATGTACACTCCACGATTACGTGTAGGCGACCCGAGGTTCTCGTCCCTCTATACAAAGCCATAGTCAGGCCTCACCTGGAATATTGTGTTCAGGCATGGGCACCATAATTTAGGAAAGACATCGAATGTCTAGAATGAGTGCGACACCTGACTACAAAGATGATGGTGGGACAAAGAGGTAAGAGCTACGAGCAGAGACTCAAGGACCTTAACCTATTCTCTCTGGCAAGAAGAAGAGTAAGGGGGGACCTAATAGAAGTCTTTAAGATCATCAACGGGCTCTCCGGACTTAAGTTTGAGGACATGNCACCCTGACCCAGCGGTATCATATCGGAGCCAGCTCCCATTCCCGTCAACATCCCTTTCAGCTCGTGCACCAAACTGCCGAAAAGAAGAGAAATCCGGAACCGGGAATATTGGGCGCAAGCCTCGATCCCGAGTACTACTTCAAGACTTCAAGACCTGACCTGACCTGACCTGGAGCGTTCAAAATTAGGAGGGGTTTCTCTGGGATTCCCCCTGAGGAGCTCTTTACTGATGCCCCGTATGCTGGTACTAGGGGCCACGAGTACAAACTGATGAATAAAAGGAGCAGGTTAGGTATGAGGTTCAACTACTTCAGAAATCGAGTATTAAATAGGTGGAATAGACTACCTGATGAACTAGTCAACTTGTCTAGTATGCACGCCTTCAAACTGGCTTGGGATAAGAGATTGTTAGAACTGTTTCCGAACGAGGAATAATGAACAGACTGCGACCATTAGATTCATAACTATTTTTGTATTCCATATGGAACGCATTCACATTAGAAGTCTCTCGCCGACACGGCGAGAAGTAAGGTTTCTCTTTCTCTCAGTTTGCAGATAGGCGAAGAAA